GGGCGCACACGAATGCCCTGGTGGGCGCTATGGCGCCCGCAGGCACCGCGTTGGGGACCACTGGTATATAAGCTAAGTTTTCAATAAGTTGTTACCATGAAGAGGGGGTCAATATTTCAAGAGCATAACATGTTACTAACTTAGCATATTTTAACCACATAATGTTTAAGTGACACTGTCAAGATGGATTACCATTGATAACTCATATGGTACTGTACCTTTTTTCCCCCATTATATGTTTACAAAACCCATGATTTTTTTTAAATCGGTCAGTAATTCTGCCCTGGAGAGCTACCTTACCACAACAAATCACTGACTGTGTCTAGACTGGCCAGTTTTTCCAGAAAATCAGCCGCTTTTCTGGAAAAACTTGCCAGCTGTCTACACTGGCCGCTTGAATTTCTGCAAAAGTACTGGCTTCCTACTGTAAGAAATCAGTGCTTCTTGCGGAAATAGTATGCTGCTCCCGTTCAGGCAAAAGTCCTTTTGCGCAAAACTTTTGTGTAAAAGGGCCAGTGTAGACAGCTCAGATTTGTTTTCCGCAAAAAAGCCCCGATTGCAAAAATGGCGATCGGGGCTTTTTTGCAGAAAAGCACGTCTAGATTGGCACGGACGCTTTTCGCAAAAAGTGCTTTTGCAGAAAAGTGTCCGTGCCAATCTAGACGCTCTTTTCCGAAAATGCTTTTAACGGAAAACTTTTCCATTAAAAGCATTTCCGGAAAATCATGCCAGTCTAGACACAGCCACTGTGTATACACAGTGGGAAAAATATACTTCAGTAGACACATTGATTTTAGTTTCAAGAGGTTATTAAAAGAATGAGAAAAAATATTTGTAATTTATGAAAAATATGTAAAAATAGCCATTTATTTAATCTGTTTGGAGAATGCATTAATAGGCTGTATAATATTTCCAAACACTAAAAGATATTTAGCTCTAATATAAATCACAATATTAGTTTTGTCAAGCATATCTCACAGCTGAAATAATATCTCTGTGTTTAAAAAGACCCTTCTCTTAGTTATATTTCGTAGGCATTAATTTTACATTCTTTGAATTGACTGTTTTATAATCATTTTGGCTAGTGTTTCTTAGAACAATAATGGAAGTCTCTGCTCTCTCTGCCTTTCTGTAGTGCATTTTCTTCAAATAAATTTCTTCATGTTTAACTACAAAGACTGGGTGGAAATTTGTTTTAGATTGTTTCTGGCAGCACAATGAGCCTATGTGCCTGAGGGAGAATAACATTTTATTCATTGTTCTTGTTTAATACATTACTGTGCAACTTCAAGATGTATTTTTGCATAATAATTGAAAAGCTTTTTCCCCGCCCTCTTTTCTTTCATTGCCAATGATATAAAAAAGGCTACAAAGACCATTTTCATAATATTTTTTATTAAAGGTTTATAAAAACATTGGATATCAACAGATCAAATAAGCTTTTTCCTTTGGTTATTATAAACAACTAAAAATAATATCGCTATTAATAGAACCTTCATTTTGATAGTCCATGGAGGCCTCATTTACTTCATCAGAAAAAACAAGGTCACCATTGTGTTGTATATCACATAGAAATCTAGCTTCATCAATATTTTACCTCTCCTAGAAGAGCTTGGTTTTGTACAGCTAAAGTGTGAAAAAGCTTTTCACTTGATTAACATTTGCTTTGCTTGCTATTGATATGAACATCCTATCATATGCACATATGAAATCTTGAGTCCATTGGAGTCCAACTTAAGTTTTGTCATTGAGGATACGACTACACTTGCTCCCTAGTTTGAGCTAAGGATGAAAATGAAGCCAACCGAAAGTGCTAATAAAGCAGGGTTTTAAATATCCCGCGCTTTATTAGCAATTTCAGTCAGCTACATTTGCATCCCTAGCTCAAACTAGGGAGCAAGTGTAGATGTACCCTGACTTCAGTGGGATCAAGTTTATTTTTTGCCTTGTAGTTTGCCCATGTGAAATCAGATGCTTGGTTTGAATTAGGGATATTAGGTATTGTATAACTGAATAGTTCTGTAACTGCATGAAATTTTAGCCATTACATGACTATTTGATAGTCCCCAAGGGCAGGGCTGGCAGCTAGTGCACTCCTGACCCAACTCCTGGGAAGTGCCCAGCCACCCCTGTTGATGCCTCTGTATCAGAGGCAGCAGCATGGGGTGCCAGGTGGGAGCTGGTCTGCAAGGGGAGCCAGTTTAAAAACCAGCTCCCCGCACAGACTGGCTGCCTGCCACCCTGGGTCCCAGCTCCCTACAGACAGAGGCAGCAGCGCTGGGGTTGGGGGCAGGGAAGGCTGCCGCGAACAGCCTCTGTCCATGGCAGGCACAGGCTCATGGCAGACAGAGGCTCCTCCTCCGATAGAGGCAGCAGCGTGGGTGGCAGAGGAGTAGGGTGTGTGTGGAGCTGATGCTGAGGGAATCTGGTTCTTAAGGAGGCTCTGTAGGAGGCAATAAGGTGGGTCACGTGGCTCTGAAGGAGCCAATACATGCAGGAGCTGACTTGAAAGTTGGCTCCCTGCACGTATTGACTTCAGCCTTCCCTCGGCACTGCTGCCTCTTTATCAGAGGCAGCAACATGGGGGGAGGGTGGGAGAGCGGGGCAGGGATATCTAGTACTAATATGGAGCTAGCTGGTGTCACGTTATTGGATTTTAAAGTGAACAGACAGATCACTGTTGCACCCATGGGTAGACTTGCTCATGGCTACTTGCATGTGAAACACAAACAGGTCACTAGATCATGTGACCAGCTCCAATTTTGGAGACACCAGGAATATAAAAAATCCATGGGGTCATCTCCATCTGGTTTTCAATCTTGCTCCTGATTCCAGGTGCATCCTTGCTGAGGACAGAGAACTGGTAAGGATTGCTGACCCTTCCTGACACAGGATGTACACCGGAGACTTGTAAACTAGCAGTTTATAACATGTCTGCTAAGAGCCTGCATCAAGAATTTGGCTATTGATGTATGTAATGTATTTTCTTTAACAGTCTTACTCTCTACCTTTTCTTTCTTTTATTAATAAACCTTTAGATGTTAGATTATAAAGGATTGGCCCAGCGTGATTTTGTGGGTATGATTTAAATTGTAAATTGGCCTGGGACTGTGGCTGATTCTTTGGAGGATCTGTTCGGAAATGGTGAGATCGGGTTTTATAACCTGTGTAAGGTCCGGGGGTGACTGTGGCACAGGAAAAGCTGGGGTACCTGAGGGGTTTTGCTCATAAGGCTTCCTGCTGGCCAGATTGGCAGCTGAAGTACTCTGTGGGACTGGTTTGTGGCCTATTTGGGAAAGGTCTCCAGTCGAGAGCTGTAAGTAGCCCTGGTTTTGAGCAACTCACCCTGAACTGATGCCCTCAGTGGTACCCAGACCCGGCCCAATCTGTCACAGCTGGTTTTTAAGTTAGCTCTTCCCGGCCACCTGTTCACACTCCCCTCCCCCCTTACTACCACTGATACAAAGGCAGCGGGGGAGGAGGGATGCGTGTAGTCAACAAGATTAATCAATAAGCCTAGGCTTATCAGTTAATTGTGTAGTTGTCTACACAATGACATCCCTAGTTTGAATTTGATCCAGGTGGTAGAGAGCTAAAATTGTTACTGTGAAATAGTGATGATGTTTGTCACATTCCTAGTAGGAACATGTCCATATTACAAAAGATAACATGATAAATAGCACCAGTTGGTGTCCTTGTTTATAATAAGCCAAGGATTGAATGTAAACTGAAGTTTGCTTTCACTTCTAGCAATGGTCTCTCCAGATTAGGACTCAGGCATATGGAGCACTATGGGGAATCTTGTAGGGTTGTTGCCAGTGCTGGACAAATTCTGTGACAACAGAGGATTTCAGCCTCAAAAACTGTGAAGAGGATGTCTTCCACAAGCACCCAAATTCACTTACAGGAAAAAAGGTCCTTGAAACCTAAAGAGTTTTGTGCTATCTGGTTGGAGGAAGATACTGGTTTTGTGTATCAGACCTTGGACAAATTGCTGAATCTCTCTGTACTCTATCTTAAATCATGAGTAAAAAGGGCATAATGCTAGTGTAAACCAGCCTAGAAATGCCTTTGCATGCTGAAAGCATGCTAAAATGTCAGGTGAAAGGGCAATTACCTTATTAAGTTATAGTGTCTAATGAATAACAAGGGACAAAACCTAATGACATGTACCACTGGAAAAAAGAGAATCATGCCATTTTGTGTTCAACAGTTTTCTCTAATCCTGATGACTCTCATTATCTGAAACTTTAAGTCACATCCTTTTTATAACATCTTCCAACCACCTTTATTTGTCTCCTAATTTTATCGGCTGATTTCATAAGCAATTCTTGTTTTTATGTTCAAACACAGAAAAAATTGCCCAATGAAATGAAGTGGAGAAAATGTTAGGCTATGAGGGAAGAGAAAGGTCTCTAAGTCTACTTACCAGTATTAGGATGTTGTAGGGGAGACACTTCACAAATCCACAGGCGTGATCCGGTGGTTTGGCGGACTAGATTGAGCTCACGAAGGCCTGACCTAGTTGAATTTGGAAATTGGACCTGCTTATTGCCACAACAGCATGGGATTCTGATAGCCTCTCAGGTTGAGAATCACAGCTGAAGTATAAATCTTAATTTTTCTATGTCTACAGTAATATGAATGAAAGAATTGAATAAAATAGGTGATACTCAAATTTTAAGTCTAAAGTCATAACTTGTGCAGATCCTAGACAATTGATTGTAAAATGAATATTTTGTTCCCTCAGTTCCAGTGTGTCTGCACCAGTTGAGCAGGATTGTTTACCTGCATCCAGTAACACAATTTATAGTAGTATCTGCTATCTCTTAAGATGATTGTCACCCAGAGCTGGAAGAAAGAATAATGTGGGAACAATTCTTCCCATAGTAGGCAGTAGAAAGAAGAAAGGTGGGTGATTATTTATCAGCCTCTAATAGAAAGTGGTAAGTTTGTCTACTGTGTTTTTACTTGAAAGGTGGCATGCTGGCCAGTAAACCAACCAGTCTACCTCTGTAAACTATGTATGTACCCACCCTCAGTAGAAAGGTTGTATTCAAATGCAGACATGTTCTAATACTTTTATGACTGTGTAAAAGTACTAGTCAGTCTTTCTAGTGAGTCAGTTTGAGGATTACTTTAAAATATTTGTAAATGCTAGGAAATGTGTCTGAGCAAAGTTGTCGTGCCTTATGTATTAAAGAAGTACAATCCTACATGTGAGATTTAACTACATCTAAAATAAAGCATTTCTGTCTAGTTTCTTAGAGCATGACATTTTTGGCTAATCTCCTTTTGATCATGTTTCATTTTCAATAATACTTTGAAAATGCTGGGAAAAAAAGCTTTATTTGCACACTGTGCTTTTAAAACATTGCCTAATCCATGAGACTTCGTCAGCTTGGATTCAGACAATCAATGGCAGGTGTAAGGGAATGGAAAACAGGAAAATCCAATTTATATCCCTGGAATGCAGTGTACTTATTTCCTATTTGGCCCTCCATTTGGAGAATCTGCCACTTGTGAATTTCATGTCCTTTCCCTCAGCATACCCATTTTTTTCTTCACATCATAAAAACATAACTGACTGGCTATAGGTAAGCTTTCAAAATTTTTCTTACAAATGAAGTGGAAGTTCTTTTCAGTGTACACTAATTTATCTTAAAAGCTTAGAGAGCACATTATTTATCTTCTGTCGTGCTGCTTGGAATTGCCCACAACCATGAGGGCATACCTTAGGGCAGACTGTAAAAAAAAAGGGCAAACACCCAAAACTGTTGGTGTGTTCTATAATTAGCTTTTATCAAGCCAGTAACTAGAGTGTGCTTCTGAAATTCTGTAACAAGAGTCACAGACTGTCCCCGAAACTTTTCAGTTTCTCTTGCCACCCAGACCAACTGAATTTAATTATAAATGGTCACTTATGCCTAAAACCATACCACAATCAGATTGCTTCCAGTCTCAAGAGACCTATCTCTTAGGCTCAGATTGGTTGGTAACCGAGATTTTATACCAAAAACATCTCCAGCCAACCAATAAATCTCAAGGTTTATTAACTAGGAAAAAAGAAATGAGATATTTACAGGTTAAAGCAAGCAAACAAATACATACCAATGAGTTACCCTGTAAATCCAAAGAGTGACAGAGTTGTAGAGATCGGTCAACGCAAAGTGTCTTTCAGGGTGGACCTAGGAGGCAGCCCCTAGGAATCTTTGGCTTCTCTTCAGAATCTTTGACCCTTCAGAGTTTGAACAGCTAAAAGGTTGGAAATATTTCCTGTGGGTTTGTTTTATTTCCTTCCAAGCCCACAGGATGGGCACCTAGCTTGGTGGATTGGTAAGACCATTATCCAATTCGGGATGTATGCGACTAGTCGACTAGTAGACAAGCAAATGCTTATTGAATAGTTGTGTAGTCTCTTCTCCCCACCTTGCTGCCTCTATCAGAGAGAGGCAGTAAGTGGGGAGCAGAAGCTGGTGCTGGCGGAAACTTGCAGGGCTTTTACACATTTCAAAAGCAGAAGCACCACAGGCAGCATGGGGTGAGGAGAGACTCTGTGGTGCCCCTCCTTGCTGCGTCTATGAGAGGCAGCAAGTGGGGGTCAGGAGCAGGTGCTGGGGGGGAGTTGGCTTAAAAGCTGGTTTCCCCCAGCATTGTCTCCAGGTGCCACCTTCCTCCCCATGCCCGCTGCCTCTATCAGAGGCAGTGGAGTGGGGGATAGTGGATGCTACTGTGAAGCAGCACCTGTCCGCAAGGTCCCAGCAGGGGGCTGGGCCCTCTGTATACAGGGGCTATTGCTGCCTGCCAACCAACCCTTATTCACTGCCAGCCTTGGCTGCCGTGAACAGAGGCTTGTGCCAGAGCAGTCTGTGATCATGGCAGCCAGGGCCAAATGCCACAAACAGAGGCTACCCCAGCATCAGCCCCTGTTTGCGGCAGACACGGCTGTCTGCAAACAGGGGCTACTGGACTCAGCGTGAGCCAGGATCAAGCATTCCCAGCTCACGCTGATTGCTGCACTTCTGCATTTTAAATGTAGTAAGAGCCCAGTGACTCTTAACTGCATTTAAAATGCAGAGCTGCAGCGTGTGTTGCTCCGGAGCTGGCAGGAGCTGGGACTGCTCAGTCCTGGCTCGAGTCGGCTCCTGGTGCTTCCCCCGCTGCAGCTCTGCAGAGTGGTGCTTATTGACTAGATAATCGCATTTTAACATCCTTATAACAGTCCTTTCTATTGCACTAATCCTTAACATCCCATGTGATTTTGATAGTCTTCTGGATGCGCTGGAGTGACAGGGAGAAATGATTCCTGGGCCTGCATTCATAAGTTCAGAACAAACATTTTCACAGTTCCCAAGTAAAACTTACATATTTTCTTACATCATAAAATACATACATAGAAGTGAGATTAACACATGCAGCAGTTTACAAACATGAGTCTGAACACTAAATACATTCTTATAAGACTAATGTCTGCTTTGAGCAAAACTAATATACAGGTGACCTATGGGGTTTCCAGCTATGAGATTATCTGTTCTTCTCTAGGTCCTGCAACCTGAGTAAGAGCTGGCATCTGGCTTGCTAGCATACAATATTCTCTCTATTTCATTACATCCCAAAACTGCTTTCTTTCTCCAATAAAAGAAACTACATGTCTGGGCCCCCTGCTCGCTCTGCTCACCAACCACCCTTGACTGCCAGGCAGCCAACTAAGGGTTTCTACCTAGAAACCTTTATGCATGTGCTTGACTTTGGAACACTTACACATGTGCTCAACCATTGGAGTACCTTGTCAAGTGTTTCATCATCACTCAAAATTTTAAAATCAAGTTTGAGTGATACAGCTATGTTCTAATTCAACCAGGAATTTAATTCAGGGACGTCCTATAGTCTGTATTATGCAGATCAGACTAGATTTTCATGTTGGTTTCTTCTGTCTTTATAAACACTGAATCTAGTAGTATAATCTATTGATATAACTGTGCTAATGACCTATCTCAGTACGGCAACTTATGAGAATATAGTGAAGCAAAAACATAAGTGTTTGCAGGCACAGAGCCAAAAATTAGACTGCCATGCCATAAAGAATGAGGAAAGGAATGTAACCAATATTACTTATGTGAAAGAGCATGTGTATTGTTTTGTGATAACAAAGATCCTTTTTTTTTTCATTTTTAAATGGACAAACACAGAAGTGAGTATCATCTGAAGAATGTTATTCCCTTTTGGCATTCTCGTCATCCTCTCTTTCAAGTTTCAACATCCTAAGCAGATTAGTTTCTCTGTAGGCAGTAATGGCAAGCCAGTGTTTGTACTAGCTCTGAAAACAGCAACTAAAGAGGATCTGACAGCTCTGCCTATGCTGGCATTGAGCCATAGCATAAGATAGTGCCAGGTCCCACACCTAATGCTTCTGCTGAAGCCTGCACCTGTGCTGGTGTTGATACTGATTGATTTCCTGTATTGTTGGAGTACTCCAGGATTCTGTCTTGAAAAAGCATTGCCATTTATCCTAAACCTTGAAATCAACAAGACTGCATAAGTGTTTGTGCAGGCCTTTGTGTATTCACAGTAAAATCAGACAGTTCCTACAGGTCGACAGTAATTTCTAAAAGGAATGCCAATGAACAGGTGTTTGTGTAAGTGTATTGAATTATATTCAGTATAGATGTTGATTGGACTATAATATAGACACATGCGTGCACACACACATAATATAGCCTTATTGATACTAATGTATTTAGCAAAGAAAGAAGACAATGGTGAGAGTGACATAGGTTTTATTTGGCATAAGTTTGGAATGTTTTTATTATTCACAAATATCAGAGTCACAAGAGAATGCTGTGAGTGATTCTGAGCAAATACGGTTATAATCTTCATACCACACCATGCCATCATGAATTATGTGCACGATACTTCTTTTGCAGAAAGGGTGTTACGTTATTTACTAAAAGTGTATGCTACTGAGAGTTACTAAAACACATTTGGTACTGATTTTATATACCTTCACTTACAAAATGTCTTTGTATCGCAAATTTAACCACACAAGATTTAGAAGCAGAAGAAAATTGTAACAAACCTTTCATAAACACCTACAAGAACTTTTTACGATAAGGTGGTGACTTTAAAGAAGCTAGTTCTTCATCTACAAAGGCTATAAACAAAGGTATATCGTTGCAAAGAGTGAAATCATTCTATTCTAATTATATTTTCATAGCCATGATGGATCGTCAAACCTCTTATTGGCTCTTTTTGTGCAGAAATTCAACATTTTTGGAAGAAAAGGGAGAGGAAGTATTGTGACAAATTGTTTTGGGACAACAGCATGATATTGGCACCTGTATTTTGTTGATTGTGTACACGCTTATATAGGGGGTAGAAAGAAGGGGCACAATCAGATGATCGAGGTAATGTTCAGCACTGGCTAGTTTCATAGCTACACTGTTTTAGCCTGCTTTCATTGTGGTTACAATGTTAAATGCTTGTTTAATGATGTATGCCATTTTAAAATTAATCAAGAGAAAGCAACTTTAAATTAATGCAAAACTATTTGCATGCTAGCAGCAAAAGTAATATCTTTTACTATTTGGTTGCATTGCACAGCTTATAGACAAGTGTGAAAGGGACATAGTTTGAATAATGGAATATCACACTGCTTCCCTGTGGTTTCTCATGGAGGGGCGATCTGGTTTGATAATTCCTTACATGTTGTTTGAAAATCCTACCCCTTAATTTTTTAGACATATTTAAGGGACTGTGGCTCTTATAAAGCCCTATAGGCAGCAGCAAAACGGAACTACCCACAGAAATAGTAGAATATGTTCAATTAATGGAAAATTATATGGATGCTGTTGGTTGGTAATATTTTGTAATATATGTACTGTTTGGAGTGCATATGATGTTTGTACTTAGCTACAGCATTTATCTTTCCGCTGTTAGGTTACATTCAGTTGACTTGTTTTAATGTACAGTTGGCTCACATAAAATAGACTATTGCCCTGAGTTTTACACCTTTCTAGGTGGAACGAATAAAATGAAGTCCAATCAAAGAGCATCAGCTCCTCTTAGAGCATAGTTTTAGTGTTTGCAGTTCTTGCTAAATTCCCCCTGAGCCTTTTTAGAGACAGCAAGGCTCAGGTTTCTCCCCTAGGTAATGACCTTTTTGTAATTTAACCTTTCCTGAGAATTTCCAAACATACTGCTTTCACTTAGCTGGATCCTTTTACTCCCCAGTAGAGTCAGACATTTATGTAAATGTCAGGTTCTCAATGCAGACTTTTGACCCAAGCCACTTTGTGTGTTTGGAGGTGGGGAGAATGGATTGGTAAGGATCGGCCCCATAACTTAGAAGAGAGAACTTTAATACTGGAATCATCTATAACCTAGGGGCTTAGAGAGGCTTTTTTAGGAGAGAGAAAAAATACAAAAAGGAAATTATTTTGCTAGTTATGATGACCTAAATATTCAAAAGTGACTACTGATTTTTGGAGTGTCTGCTTTGGATGCCAAACTTTAGACAGCTTGAAGGGGCCAGATGTTCAAAGGTGAGACACACAGAGCCAATTTTAGGTTAACACAGTAATCTTAATTCTGGCATTTACAAGTTTTGAGTGCTTCACTGTACAACATAAATTTGATTATATGTACTTTGATATATGTTTTTCTATATATAGTGTGCAATTTGTCTGCATGCTTACAGCATATTTTTACCAGGTTCTAATTCCTGCTAGCAGACTGCAGAATTGTTCATATTGTTTTTGTATTCCTTTTTTATCTTGCTTTATTCTGCTTTATCCTCATTTTGTAGATTTAGTGTGTAATAAAAATGCAATAATGTACATAGTTGCATGAGTTGCACACTGTTGGAAAAAATCATTTAAAATTATGGGCCATTGAGCAGCAAATGAATTAATAGCATATGGAGGTAATGCTTATAGTAAGGCTATGGACAAAATTCTACCCTAGCTCGGCAATGGAGAGGAGCAGTATTAGCCAAGTCAAGTCTACAGAAGTCATCATGCCATGTAGAACAGGGCGTCTCAGGAGGGCTTGGTTAAAAACATAGCATACAATAGTTCTTATTGTTTCTCAAAAAATGAAAACCATGCACACTTTTTCTCCACATCCAGTATTTGCTGTTGAAAGCAGAGTGCATGAAGGTGTGCCTTGGGGCCTGGTCATGACCCTAAACCAACTAATTATGCCTCCTCGGGTCTAAGGATACATTAGTTAGGGTATCCATCACAATGTTCAGGAGAGTGCTTTTTACGTGAAGGTATGGGAGTAGGCACTTTGCATTTTTTCCCCTTTCTGGTTTACTGAGCAACAAAAGGAAATTTACCCTTAGGGACTGTCTACACTGCAGCTAAAAACCCATGTCTGACCTGGGGCAGTTGATTTGGGTTTGTGGGGCCATTTAATTGCAGTGCATACATTTGTGCTTAGGTTGGAGCACTACAATTAAACAATGTCAGCTGGCATAGGCCAGCCATAGGTTTTTAACTGCAGCATAGGCAAACCTATATACATTCTGGAAGATGCAGATCTCCATGGATCTACTCCAACTGCTGTGAATTTTAATAGGGGTTGATGATGTTTGTGGATTTACTAGATCAGTCCAATTAGTATGATGATTTGCAATAAGTTTATGGAGCATGGGGGAAATCCAGGAAAACTGAAAGAAAACTACATTTTCTGCAAATATTTTAAAAGGATAATTATAGACCTGTCACCCTGATACTGATCGTGGGCAAGATGGTGAAGTCAAGATGAGACTTGGTTAATAACGAATTAAAAGAGGGTCTCTTCAATCTAGCAGAGAGGTACACTTTGAAACTCTCTAAACTGGGACTCTCTGGTCCTGGAACGTCCATGACAGGACCATGGGTCTTCCATGACTAGGGTTCTGGTAGAGGGCTGGGGGCTCGCAGGGCAGTGGGCTGCAAGCATCGAACTGCCAGTGGGGCCAGGAGCCCAGTGTGAAGCTGCGGGGCTGCCGAGTGGGGCCAGAAGGTGGGTGCATGGGCGCAAGGCTGCCTGGAGGGACCGGGAAGCCTAGGTGGGGTAGGGGAAACTATCTAGCGACCAGGCCATGGCTGGGGGGAAGCAATGGTTGGGGGGGGGAAGGGGCAGAAATGACCTCCCCTGGTCTAACAAAAACCATCAGCAGGGACCAGTCAGGTCCTGATGGTGCCAGACCAGGGCAGTCCTACCTGCATACCACAATCCAATGGTTGGAAGTTGAAGCTAGTCCAATTAAAACTGGAAATAAGGTATATGTGTTGTATTATGAGAGTGATCACCCACTGGAATAGCGTAAGAAGGTTTCTGGTGGATTCTCTATCATCAGCAATATTTTAATTTTTTTGTTCCTTAAAAAAAAAAAAAAGCTTTAGAAATGGTTTTAGAGAAGTTCTGTGGCCTATCCAGGAGATCAGGTTAGATTGTGACTATAGTCCTTCCTGGCTTTGGAATATCTGAATCTCTTGTTTCTAGTGAAGTGTACTGCATAATGATATTATAGCTTTTATTTATTACAGTACTGTCTTGTCTCCGTTACCTTGAATATTATCACTCTCTACTTTTGTTGTTTTACATTACTAAATCTGTGTTGGTTCCATAATTCACATCAGCAATAGCAATACCATATATGTGGTCCAGATAATAATGAATCCAATTCCCTTTCCTCCATTATTTGTCCTAAGATTAAATTTCCTTTTAGCTGTAATATTCTTTGTTATAAAGATTTTTAGGCGTTTTTTTAAAGTAAAAACTTGACAGTTTACCACAGCCAAGCACAATATTTGCTTCCTTATGTCAGAATATTTGTTTCAACCAGGTGGAATCCTCAGACAAATTTATGATCAGTAGCTGTTGTTGCAAGGTGAACTGTGCTGAGGATAGTATTCAGTCTGCATCTGAAGAAGATGGGCCAAAGAAAAGCCCTCCTATCATATGGAAATCATTGGAACATAATTCTCTGCAATACAGTGAGTTTTGTATACCTCTTTCTCATTAGGAGAGAAAGTCATATTTATTTCATATACTCTTGTGGAACGTAATATTAAACATTATTACAAAAATCCTGTTGTGGGTGAAGGTTTGTAATCTTATTGCTGTCCAGATATTCTGAAGAAAAGATGTGTCTGGGATGAGGAGCTTTTTGTTTGCACAGAGAGATCATCTTGGGTGATCATATATAGACTTATGTGTTTGAGATTAATTCTAGGACTGATGCTGCTTCTTCAGAGGGTATCTCTTGTCAGTTTTTTATAAGAGAAAAATGCTAAATTTTAACAACACTGGCTCTGTCCATGTAATTTTATCTGCTTTATATTTTAGCCTTCCATTAATTGGATTGGAGAAAAGGTTATGATGGCTTAAAAAAAATCACAAACATTCCCTCCCCCTAGTCCCTGCACTTTTAAAAACATAAAATAACAGCCTGCCATGCCTCAGTTTTCAGTGTACCAGAAATCCCTTATGTACTTTCTCTTGTGGCTGGAATGCAAGAGTGATACTATTACAGCTTTCTTTCCCATCAAACTACTTTCCCAAATTTATTTGCTGTCCACACAGCTTCCTGTGCTCAGAAGTCACTTCAGGACTGTTATATCTGGAGGCGATTGACTCAGATTTATGCATGGGTGAATTCATACATGTAATTCTCATTAGTATTAATGGGCAGTATAAACTACCCATGTGACTTCCTCCTTGATGACATGTCCATGCCTTCTATCATTTGAACTGAAATGCTCTGAATCTTACTTATCTGAATTACAGCCTGTTCCTACAAACAGTTACTTCTGCAAGGAGCTGCATTCACTTGAATAAAAGCAGTGGTACTATACACAGAGTCCTGTGCGGATACAGTATTTGTATCTACATCTGATGCACCATCTGCCAGTATAGTCCATGGATATAGATATCCACAGAGCAGGGCTCTAACTATATATGCAGGAGATTGCAGATTCATACCCTTAGGCTAGAGTTCTGAGACAAGAGACTTCGGGTAAACTTTGGGGACAAGAGACTTCGGGGCTAAAATCCTAGCCCCATTAACATGAGTGGTAAAACTCCCATTAAATTCAATAGAGCCAGAATTTCACCCTTCATCTTCCTCTATGGTATAGAGCATCATGTACATTTTATAAATAAATAATAACTCTACCTTGCATTAATAAGAATATACAGCCAATGCAATACTACATGGGAGAATGTTGTATTCAAGTAAGATGCAAAAAAAATCGTCCCCCCGATTAATATTCTTAGTTTAAAAGAAATATTCTTAGATTAAAAAGTTCAGAAGTCGCATTTACAAATTGATAGTTTGACTAGTGAGTGCCTAGCAGCCTACATTTTCATAGATATTTGGGCATCGGATATTGTGGCTAGAGGCTTTATGGGAATTTGAAAAGGGTCCCGGCAAGTTAGGCATCTAACTCCCATTGGTTAGGCATTGTAGTTAATAAAATTGCAAGATGTACAAATAATACTTCAGCTCCAACAATTTGTAAGAAATGTGTTCTGGAGAAAATCTGTGGGAGAAGATTTGCCAGGTCCTGTTTGGTAGTGTTGATGATTTCAAGTGTACTTTTGATACTTTGTTATATTTTACTGTCTAAATCATTTTCAAAATGATCTAATAATCTGTAATTTTGCTCCCTGTGCATAAACAATAGTTTAAAAGATTTTTTTGATAAAACTTAAACTGATATCTGTTGTCTTTGTAATCAGATCGATTTTCTTTCATTTGTTGAGGTAAGCCATTAGAAAATTCTGGAAAATCACTAAGTGGTTACCAGTGGGTTTCAGGCATTGCTGCCCGCTTCCTTCAATTAGAAGAAAGAAGTATTCAAGAAGCAGCTCAGGAGGCCTTCTCTTCCCTCCAAGGTAGTTTATTAATCCAAGCTGTTATTTATCATGAAAAGGGTTGTTGTTTTTTAAATATAGTGAAAAAGTAAAGAGCTGAAATATTTTTATATTTCAATAACTTTAATTTCTATGATTGTAAACTTACCATTTGAGGCTTGCTTTGAGTTGGCATCATGCTGTGAAGACAGCTAACTTTAATATTTACTGTTGAAATATGCACAGAGTTTGAAGACTCTAAAAAGTAAAGATGGGGGATGATAAACTCAGTATTTCAGAATTATTTCCAAAATATTCTTAACAATTTTGTGGAAGACAACTCTATCATTTTATATAATGGAATATATGTATTATATATATATCTATCTCTTTTCAGATACGGTGTTTTCCATAGCCTGTCTGTGCACATATGTTGTAGGAGATGCTGGCTGTGTGGTGAAGCTTTTGTTAACATAATAATTTTAAATTAAGTTTTTAGAAAGCTGTTGCTCTTGTACATTTTGGCATCTAGGATTAGGTCAGGAGCAGTAAATCTCATTTATGTACTTAATGCAAAGGGAAAATTGCTGTCTTGGGAATCATGGAAGCCACATTCCTTGCTATCACACTCTTACAAGTTATTGACATATAAAACAAAATGTTCCCATTTTGTTTATCAGGTTTTTTTGTATTTTAAACTTTAAATAAATAATGTTTATGCAGGCTTCTTTTTCATTCATAAAAATGAAATTCATTCTTAGTGACTGCTTGGGTAGGCTTGTATTCTTGTTCACAAATTCTTGTGATATATTAGCCCATAAAATCTTTACATTTGGCTTGTGCAGCTGAATTCATGACTGAATACAAAATGATGAAGAAGCTTTAGCATTTTTAGAAAGCACAGAAGTCATGCTTTCTAGATGGGTTTTCAGCTAGTTTTTAACAGCCTGAAAATCAGCAAAGAGAGTGTAATCAAACTTGTAGTTAAAGGCGCTAGTGTTTCGTGTAAATCTTTTGGGTATAATCTGTAAATTGAAGCAAAGGGGCTCTATAACATTTTCTTTGGTTCTCAGTTTATTTGTGTGGATATCTGCCAATCTAAACATTATATATTTTTGCCTTACCATCCATCAGAAGTTTTTTAAAAAACCCTACTTATTGTGTCATTGACTAGTTGAGTAGCCTATTGCTTTCAGCATGTATTTACTGTATTAGCTGTATTGTTTTCCATTTCTGGCAAAATAGTAGTTTTTTGATTCTTGGTAGTAAATGTCAGTGCTCATGTTTCCTGTGGGGTTTTTGCCTTTTCGTGTGGAGGGTGGGGAAAGCTGAGTGAATTATGATCCTGTCATCTGAAGAAACCACAATGTTTCTTTGCCAAATTTTTCTGAGGGCTAAAGTGATCATCTGCAGGTATTGCATGAGCCTTTTCCTGAACTCTTACTAGCAATGTACTCAGGACTTCAGCCTGTTCTCTATCATGCTGGGAAAATGGAGCATACACAAGTCCTTTTAACTTATTCCTTGCAAGGTTAATTGATTTAATCACTTCTAAAGAAGATGAGTTTTGCCAGAAGGATTTAGAAATGGAAATTTACTACTGGACTTCATGAAACATATGATACCCTAGCCATAAAATCAAAAACAGAAGAGGGAATCTAGTACGGTATTTTTTCCATTTATTTACTTTTCTAAGCTATATTTTTTATTCAGACTTTTCCTTCAGTAAAGTTTTTAGAAGGAGATAAAAATTACAGCACTAAATGTTCTCCATAGAGGGCCAGTTCATGAGCTATAATAAACTGGCATTTTTCCATAGGCATCAGTGATCTGACCCGGAGTTGGATGTATCGCAGTTACACAGCATCAGGGGGGCCCAGCTCCATACTCCTGGAAGCAGCAGGGCTTGAATCATAGAATAGGCTTGCAGGGCAGCCAGCCCTCAGCACCTCCTGGAGTGTACCTTGGCTCCCCCACTAGCCCTTAGTGCTGCCCCGAGTGTGCTGTGTGGTGCTCCCTCAGTGATTTTAAGTGCTTGGGAGCCCCAGGACCTTTTGAATAGCTGGGACCCAGGGCAACTGCCCCCTTTGCCCCTTCCTTCCACCACCTTCCCCTCCCTCCACTTGTGGGTCTGCAGAGAACGGAAAATACTGATGTTATTCTCTTGTTCATTTTCACAATAAGCACCCTACTCTGGTCGTACATCTACATTTGCTCCCTAGTTCAAGCTAGGGATGCAAATGTAGCTGACTGAAATTGCTAATGAAGCGGGGATTTAAATATCCTGCATTTCAGTAGCATAACCTCACCCACGCATTATTCCGCTCAACAGGAAGTGTGCTCCGGGACGTGTTAGTTCGAATCAAACTCCTTGGTTTGAACAAATGTTACTCATTTTTTGATTTGAACTAACACGTCCCGGAGCACACTTCCTGTTGAGCGGAATAATGCGTGGGTGAGGTTATGCTACTGAAATGCAGGATATTTAAATCCCCGCGTCATTAGCAATTTCAGTCAGCTACATTTGCATCCCTAGCTTGAACTAGGGAGCAAGTGTAGACGTACCTAGTTGTGTCTAGACTACAGGGTTTTGTCAACAAAAGTGGACTTTTGTCGACAAAACTATACCTGCGTCTACACTGCCGTTGAGTTCTGTCGACATAATGTCGACAGAACTCATCAGTTTTGTCGACGGCTGTAAACCTCATTCTACGAGGAATAATGCCTTTTGTCAACAGAGTTCTGTCGACAGAAGGCGTTATTGCATCTGCACTGTCCTTTGCGTCTACACTGTCACGTCAACAAAGCAGCTTGCTTTGTCAACAGAACTGGATGTAGTCTAGACGCTCTTTGTCGATAGAAGCTTTGTCAACAGTATCTCTCAACAAAACTACTGTCGACAAAAGCCTGTAGTCTAGACGTACCCAATGAGACTAAGTCATACCTGACCAAATCCCGCAGACTTCTAGATGGCAGCAAAAGGCCCAAACCTAAGTAAAAATAACATGTACTACTTTTGTGAATCTTGGATGTACGCACACTGGAAGATAGCTCTATGTGGGTATGTCTGCACTGCCACCCTAGTTCAAACTAGGGTGGCTAATGTAGGCATTCGAACTTGCAAATGAAGCCCGGGATTTAAATATCCCGGGCTTTATTACTCCCTGCCCGCGGCTACACATGGCATGGACTAGGTAGTTCGAATTAAAGCTCCTAATTCAAACTACCGTTACTCCTCCTGCAATGAGGAGTAACGGTAGTTCGTATTAGGAGTTTTAATTCGAACTACCTAGTCCGTTCAGTGTGTAACCGCGGGCAGGGAGTTCGAACTACGGGGCATTTAAAAATGGTGGCGCCCGGGAACATGCAAATAAAGCCCGGGATATTTAAATCCCGGGCTTCATTTGCAAGTTCAAATGCCTACATTAGCCACCCTAGTTCGAACTAGGGTGGCAGTGTAGACATACCCAGGGTGACTGAATGGAGGGTTTGTAGGTGGGTCAAGAAAATGGTGTTTACACGCATAGCTGGAATGTGGTTGACTTCTAAGTAGGTGCATAGGTGAAAAAGAGCTTCACCAATTGTGCCTTTCTATTGGACATAGTCCTTTAAGGGGCCAGCAGTGTCCTGCCTCCATGTTGGGAGAAAGATTCCATCTCCCCATGCCTCCCAGCATGCATGCATTGTTCTTTTTGCAGGGCAGAACAGTATTCCACCTTTAAAATCTTTTTTAAGTGAATCTTTTTTGTAACAAAGTTGAAAATTATTAACATTTAGAAATAAATTTCCTTTTCTTTCAACTTTGTTAAATACAGTTATACATCAACCAAATTAGTTTTTCAGTTTAGCCTAGTATTTCCTTCCAAAAAATATGTTTCAGATCACACACATAAAACTGTAACTTGAGGAGAAAAAAATAATGTTCCACTGACTGGAGGTTTGAAGAGTGCACTTATTTACTAGCTGACTGAAGAAGAATTCTGCGTAAGCTCGAATTCTTGTTTTTGAATATATTTAAAAGAATTGAGATTTTATTTGAAAGCTATTTGCTTTCACTTTAGCTTCACTCAGCAGATTATTTTTCTGCGCTCATCCTGCTTGCTAATTAGAAGGAAAATATATATGTCCAATCTATGACTTTAAAGGGCAATATAGCTAAAACTATCATGAAGGGAGGCTTATGAAGAAGTTAACTAATTTCACATGGGACCCTATTACTGTATATGTTCTACATTCTTTCATACTTTTCAGAGAAATATTTGTACTTAATTTGGCTTCTGTAACTCATGAAATTTGAATGCAGAATATGAGGATCACATAGTAAGCGTCCCACAAATTTTAATAAGGCACTCAGAATGGAAATGTGCGTTCTAAATTATATCTTCTTAACTCCCTTAACTTCATTCTTCTTCCTCTATACAATCAGCTTTGGTTGAGTCCATTTTCTTACCTTCACCCCTTTATCCTCAATCCATTTACTGTTTTTTTGTCACCAAATATTTGTTTTCTCTCTTTACCCCTCTGCATATCATCCCCAGCTCCCTCAGTCTCTCCATCCATTTATACCCTTTTACTTGTATTGAAAATTCCATTGCTTGATCTCCACAAAGTGCTTGGTAAATTGGTAGGTATTATGGTATATTCTATTATCCATTAGTTTTGTTTTTGCACAGTGGAATGTAGACTGCTGTATATACGTATTTTTTTAGGACACAATGTATTCCCATAAGGCAAGTGTAAGTTCAGGTTTGAACTTTCAGTTATGTTTTATCTTCATATTATCAGATTAAATTAATAAAAAAGCACTTACTAAAAATAAGGCTATGTCATCAAAGATTATTGTAAGGGGGAAAGTAATGTATAACTAAAGCATTCAGTCATGTTAACTAAGTGTATTATCTTTTCTTTTTTGTACAAACAGAAAATGTCTCTGGTATCTTTCTATGTGTATTTAAAATGTCTTAACTTTAACAGCTATGTTATTTTTTTCTGGCAGCTAATATGAATACAAAGGGATTGGAATTGAAAGATATTATTTTGGTCCATCTGTATATGAAGAACATGAAAGATTTTGCTGTTATAAATTCAGCTTATATGACAATATTTGATTTATGTCCACCAGCAAGGTAGGATCAGGCTATTGCTATAGTATATTTATGATACACTATTATATACTGTATTACTACTGCTATATTTATGAAGCTTTTGTACTTTTTTTTGTCTTACATATTCAGAAGTAGTGTTTGTTCACCTTTTTCTAGGAAGCATGCTGGTTTTGATCATTTTTTTTATTTCCTTAATGGAACAGTTGCTAATAGTATAGCATAAGCATATATACTGCTTAATTAAAAGCATGTGTGTGGTAAGGAGATGGTGTCAATGTTCTGAGTACTGTGAGCCTAACTACTTTTTTTGGCAGAGACCAAGCATATCCCTTTTAGTATATGTCTAGTGTCTATCAGACTAGACCTCCACACTTGCTGCCAAACCCAGGTCTATGGGAATGAGCCAATCAGTCTAGGCCTGCAAGTTCATCCACAGTTCCAATTTTGTACTGCTCTTGACTTCTAGTTTATGTAGTAGTTTTCTGTTGGAAACTGGACCAGTATAGTAAATGCTTAAGTTACTGAAAACCTTACTCCAGTTCTTTTAAAGTTGTGTCAAATCTAACACATTCCATTCCAAAGAACTGTCTTTTTGTTTTGAATTGTGTTTTTGTTAGAAGAGTTCATGATGGGGGGAAGCAGTGGATGTGATATAGCTCAATTTTAGCAAGGCTTCTGATACTCTCACATGACCTTATAAACAAACTAGGGAAATGTAGCTTAGATTAACCTACTATTGAGGTAGGTGCACAACTGTTTGATAATTGTACTCAATGAATTATCAATGGTAAACAATCAAGCTGTAAGGGTGTATTGAGTGCGATGCTGTGGGCCTCTGTCCTGGGTCTGATTCTAGTCTATCTCATCAATGATTTTGATAATGGCATAGAGAGTATACTTATAACATTTACAGATCATTCTGGATTTGAAAGAGCTTTGGAGGATCAGATTTTAAATCAAAATTATCTTGACAAATTGGATAAATGATCTAAAATAAACAGGATAAAATTCAATAAGGACAAATGAGAAATACTCCACTTAGGAAGAAATAATAAATTGCACGGACAAAAACTAGGAAATGACTACTTAAGAAGGAGCACAGCAGAAGGATCAGGGGGTTATGGTGAAGCACAATCTAAATATGAATCCACAATGTAATACTGCTGCAAAAAAAGCAGCAAATATCATTCTGGATTTTATTAGTAGGAGAGTTGTAAGGCATATTCAAGAAGTATTTTTTTCCACTTTACTCAGCAGTAATAAGCCATCAAGTAGATTTTGAATTCAGGATACAACACTTCAGGAAAGATGGGGATAGATTAAAGAAAGTCCACAGAAGAGTTTCCAAAATGATTAAAGGTCTAGAAATTATGACCCACAGGAAAAAATGAAAAATTTTGGTTTGAGTCTGAAGAAACGAGAGGACCTGACCATAGTCTTTGAGTACCTGAAAGGTTGTTATGAAGAGGATGGTGATGTCTAGTTCTGCTTCACCACTTAGGACAGAACAAGGAATAATGGGCTTAAATTGCAACAAGAGAGATTTAAGTTAGACTCTAGGAAAAAGGTCCTAACATACAAGAGTAGTTAGCACTGAAACAAATTACCTAGTGAGGTTGTGGAATCTCTTGTCATTGGAGGTTTTTAAGAACTATTTAGATGAACACTTGTCTGGGATGGTCAGTAATACTGAGTCCTGCCTCAGTGCAGAGGACTGGAGTAGATGACCTATTGAGGTCTCTTCCAGGTCCACATTTCTATGATTCTATGACTTCCAGAGTGAGAACTGTAAAGAATCTCTCTGATTCTTTGCAACTGAAATACTGCTAGGTTGCCTGACAGCTTTTCCTTTAATGAATTAGTCCTATCAACAGGTTGTGTGATCTCCTTATAATTGAAAACTTTAACTTCAGGTCAGTTAAAATAAAGTTTAATTTTTGTTCATATTCATAAAAAAGGGTAAAAACATCTGTATAAATGGAGCAAGACTAGAGATTATAATAATTCAATTAGTGAAAATGTCATCTATAATTACAGAGTTTTTGTTAGCCATATTGAAGGTAGATGTGTGACAGTAAATTGTTATAACAAAGCCAGATGTGATATGGAGAAGTAATACCTTTTTGACTCAAAATAGTCTTTGCATCAAAAATACTCTAGTCCATATTCCAGGTTTGAGAGAATAAAACAATGAAAGATCTATGTAATAATATTCCCTACAGTACACTTTCCTTTAATTCAGCGTTAAATGGGTCTGGTGATAGGGATATCCTAAATAGTTTCACTTCATTTAGGAAACTATTACTATACAATTCAGCGTTAAATGGGTCTGGTGATGGGGATACCATCACTTCATTTAGGAAACTATTACTATACTAAAAGCTTTGGTTGACAAGTAGGTTTTTCTTATATTCAGCCTAAATTATCATTTTAAAAAAAAATTATGTCTCATTTCTCCTAATTTTTCCCACTTGGACAGCTGTAAACATGTCCACTTGTTCGTTAGCTTTTACACTTTTCTGGACCCTTTCCATCCAGATTGTCAATATCTTTTGGAATAAATTTCCTAGAAGTTAAAGCAGTAATCGGGGTTCAGTAATGCCATGGGTGTAGGGAGAGGAACTGTATCCTCAGTGTTCTGTTGTGTAATTCCTGTGTGTATGATGTCTCATATTGTATTGATCTTTTTATTGGCTGCCACATTTCATTGCTAACTCTTGTTCTGGCCATTGTCACCACTACATCTTTTTCATCATTGTTGCTTTCCACATTTTTTCCTCCTATTCAATACAGGCAGTCCGTGGGTTATGTGGATCCTACTTACGTCGGATCCCTACTTATGAACTGGGTGAGGGAACCCCGCACTAGCTGTGTCCCCCCCCTCCCCCAGCAGACCTCTGAGACGCGCCGTGGCAGTCCTGCTGCCCGTGTCCTCCGCGGCAAGAAAAGCCGCTCCGCGTCTCCCTAGTCTGCTGGGGGCCTCCCCCAGCAGACCAGGGAGACGCGGAGCAGCTTTTCTCGCCGCGGAGGATACGGGCGGGGGGATCACCGTGGGGCATCTCGGCGGT